ACTCTCACAGGTAGGAAGAGGCACACTGGTGAAGAGCAGAGAGTGCGGAAAACCTGCCATGTCACCGGCCACGCTGGACAGCTTCCGAGACCAGAAGACTTGATTCCCTAGAGCTTTCAAGCCAGCACCAAACACGCCGGAGTTTGTAACGATGCCATCCTGGAGAGAAGCCCTCTGTCTTGAGAACAGGGATGGTCCTGTCAAATTCTCTCAGGGAAAGAAAAAATGGCGATGGCTGAGGGGCTTTGTGAGCTTCTGGCTTTGCCCAGGAGGCAGAACTGGATCCAGCACCGAGAGATGCAGAGGATGCAGAGAGAACACAACCCAAAGCACCAAGAAACAGGACAGATGAAAGAAACATTCAGCAGCAGCCACTCTGTACCCATCAGTGCCATAGGCTACGGACGGGACAGACCCATCTGACTGGGGTGGTTGGCTCAGTGCCCAGGCAGAGGGAGGCAGACAGGAATCTGGATACAAAGGCAGAAAAGCAAGTGGCACTTATTGCTGGATACTGTTCTACTTCTGCAAACAAGGAGAGACCCCCCCTTGTGCGTCAGGGCTGAATGGCTTCTGTTTGACACGCCTAGAGCGAACCAAGTTCCTGCAGGAATGTTATTTCCCTTACAGGAACGGTGGCTCTTTCAGATGAACCGAGTACTTCGGCCAGCAGTGTTCGCTGGGGCCATGCCTGCACCCAAGGACCTCACCTCCCTCCACCCCAGGGCATAAAGAGGTAAGCTGGCCTTTGGTTCCTTCACCAATACAGAATCCTACAGGGTGCAACTCAGTTCAGGAAAGCACCTATTTCCTGCTTTAGACAGTCTCTTGAAAGAGCACTGGCAGAAAAAGGTGGGGACTCTGTTGGTACTGGTTGAATGTCCAGGGATCTAGAGGCCCTCGGAACAGATCGGTACCAAGCAAAGGGGAGTCAGGCATCTCTGTTGCCACAAGGCCTCATGAAAATCTAAACTCCTGCAATACCCAAGTGCTTGGTACCAAGACAGCAGCCTGGGCAGATGTTACTGTGGGACAGGGAGCGGACCGTGCCATAAACTTTATGAGCTCCAAGGAGTGTCTGCTAGATGACAGTCTGGTCTACGATGGTACCGACGGCTTGGCTGATTCTACCGGTACCAACTTAAGAGTAGTCTTCTCCTTGTCACCTCAAACCCCGATGACCCAGATGATTTCCCGGAGCTGGGACCCTTCCATTCTTTGGG